GAAGTAAGCGGTTCCTGAAGACACAGAAACTTCAACAGTCCCCTATCTATATGGATAGAGGAGGGCGATCAAGGTCGGCAGCCCTGGTTTTCTTTAAAACTAGACCGGTGGACGGGCTAGCGCTTAGCTAGGCAGAGCTGGGATTTTGCTTTCCGCTGCAGACTGACATTCCCCAGAGCAGGTGTCAAAGCTCTTTGGGGTGGGATCTCCTCGCCTTTCCCATCCCTCAAGCCTGCCCACTCCGGGCTTCTGGACTACTGAGGAAATTGTAGAGTTTGCTTCCCGCAGCCCCACTCCCCACCTGACAAGCAAGGCGCTGGGCTTGGGACTCGGAGAGAACCTTCCCCCAGCGGATAGGGCTCCTGAAGCTTCTTTTTCCTTTTCCTAAGAGGCCGGATGAGGGTTAGTACAAGCCTAACAACCCCGTATCTCTCCCTACCCCCGCATCCTCTGCCAGCTCTGCTAACCTGGCGTTTTGAATTTTAACAAGATTAACGGAGAAGAAGGAGACGAAAAAGGGCGCGTTTGGCCTCACCACCCAGAAAACTTCAAACAAACAAACAAAAACTTTCCAAGATCCAACTGCAAATCTGGAAGGTGACAGTGAATTGTGACGGTGAATTGTGACTTGTGACGGTGAATTTCTGATCTGAGAGGCCGAAAAGATTTAGTGAGGCCGGGCTTCAGTTTTACGTAGTTTCTTTCTCCCTAGGCTCAACCAGCCCGAGCTTTCAGACAGAAGAAAATTGAAGCTAATGAAGATCTCAAACACAGCCGCAATTCCGAGGGCCCCTTTTCCGCCACAGGCACCCACCGTCCGTATGTACGTGTAATCACAGAGACTTGCCGTGTCTTCATCACCAGGGGCTCCAAAGAAAGGGAAGAAAATGCTCTGTCGTGAAAAGGAACCTTGTGTTGTCACTACTATTATTTCCGTATGGCGACCTAAGAGTTTCCTTGTCCTCTTAAAATTCCCCCACAATATTGAAACAGCATTTGTTTTCCCATTCTTACAAACGCTTGAGGCCTTTCTGGAAAACCATTACCATTCAATGGCTAGAAAATTGCTCTCCTTCCTTTAAAAAAAANAGGCACAGCAGCAGCTACAACAGACAAAAAAAAAAAAAACTTTCTCCCGCATAATCCTCGCTCTCAGAATGACAAAGAAATGATATTGACTTACCCCCGAACGAAAGAGGTGTTTGATAAGGGGGGGGACTTTTTTTTTTTGAAGATTTCTGTTGGGGAACTGCACAGACAGCTGCAATTCATGGGCGACGCTGATTGCCAGAAACGCTATGGATTGGCATGGGGTCTGCAGCTCACAGATCCCTGATCAATACCCCTACACTCACACGCCAGATGGTTTGGGGAAGGACAAAAATAAAATATTCCAAATCTACCCACCATTATATTTTGTGTGTGTGTGTGTGTTGCTCTGATAAACCTAGCTGTAGCACAAATGTGTTCTACCCTAACACAAAACAGGATGAGATTTTGAGCATTGGGGTAGAAAGGAGCAGTCCTACTCTGCCCTAGATTTGGGTCGTGGTTACTGTTGTATAGTAAAAACAAAGCCATTGGGCCCCTTATGCAGATTGGCTTTACTTGTGGTCTGTTTATCTTTTTCTGTGAATAATTTATAAAGTCTCTCTTTTAATTGAATGTTCACCTCTGTGTGTGTTTCTCTATATTTAAAAACAATTTTAATGTATAAAACACATATGAACACCTTGATAGTAAATATTTTTAGTCTTTTACTCAAGTTCTGAGTTTTATTCTTTTACAGTGCAATAGTCTATAATAGCCTTGTTGTCGAAGTTGCATTTTATTTTCATGCTTCTTTTGACCCATTTCAGTTTCTGATCTTGAAGAAAATTGGACCTGTGAATGTGGTATGCTAAGTGAATATTCAAGTCCTGATATGCTTGGTACAACTGTTTGTCCAGATTCTAATAGCCGTGAACTAGCACTTACCGCACCACATTTCTATACAGCATGTTTGTAAATTAAATGCTGGTGGGGAGTGGGGGAAAAGTGGAGTGTAACTTCAAATTAAAAGAAAATAATTCCAAGTTGCAGAACTTCTGAAGGTTAAAATATGGATGCTAAACAAGGAGCAGTTAGAAAGCAACTTTCTCTTATATTTTCTTAAAGAACTATAAAGAAAGAAACACCAAAAATATTTCAAAGCATACTTGAAAATCGTATTAGTATTGATATTCCAAAAATTGCTTTGAAGTAGAAAATATTGTTCTTTTTTAGAAAGAAAGAGAAAAGGGCATCCAAACCTAATTCAATAAAAATTACAGTGCTCACTAAACAAGCACATCCATTTTCCTTTTAAATGGATTTTGGGTTGAAACATAAAACCTCAAACCACCATTAGAAAAACAATGTGAAAAATCTGCTTTAATCTAGCCCAATGAAATTATACACAAAGAAACCAATACGATTTCATGATTTCCCTGAGATCGCCAATATTGATCGAGGGAAGGCGGAGGGATGGTGGGAGAGAGGGAGGAGGGAGTGAGGAAGGAGGGAGAAAGGAAGGAAGCAAGGCAGCGAGAAAAAGCAACTCACCTTTCTGCTCCCAGGCTCATGGAAATATAATTCCCAAGAGCAGATTTATCTCAGTGTCCTGGCAAATGAGTTTATCATTTTAAAAAATTATTTAAATGGCAATTTATATACCTAGGTTTCTGTATGAAGGAAGTGTCAGCTTAGGGTAGCTGGCTGCTCGTTGAGCCTGAAGTCTGCGTAGCAGTGGAGGCTATCTTAGCACTGGGCATATCAGACCCACTACTTCCTAGTTCTGCTTCTCTCCTGCTGTGTTTCAGTCCCTGTGCACTCATGGACCAAGAGCAGGTTGCACTCTTGTGAACTTCTGTTCAACTCAGTGTTATTTTTCAAACATTAACTGATTAAAATCATCCCAAGTGTCCAGCTGCCATAGATAAGGTAGGGAGTGCAAAGAGAGACAGTAGGATAGAGACAGTGGGGTGAGGAGTAGAGGCAAAACAGAGAAACCAAAACCTCAGTTATTTTACCTGTCTCCTGTTGTGACACTAAAGATGTGAGCAACCTCTTTGCCAGAAAAGTCTGTCTGGCAAACCGGGGGATCTGTCGCTTTCTTACTCAGGCTTTGATAACACAGAGAAGATGCTATTTGAAAGAATAATTGGCAGGGTATTGGCTAGAGCTCAATAAAGTTGATCTATGAATAACATCACTGTACATTCATGTGACAGGGTGGGGGTGGGGGTGTTCCTCTGAAGCTGGGAGAGGAGGGCAGCAGAAAAGGTCATTGAGAGACTAAGAACTGTTTTTCAAATGAATTAAACCTTCCTTTAATTCACCAAGAAGGGACATACAGTATTCTGGGCTGTGCCCTTGTTTTCTTATCAAGTTTTCTCTAACAGCTGGAAGTGGTTGAAGGGGGCTGTCTTAAGGAGACCCCCTGCTCTTCTTTTGACAGCTGATCAAAAGAAAATAGGTCACGCTTCTCAAACTTATGTCCACCCTGTTCTTAATTACTGTCTCTTTAAACAAAGGCAACATCTGCGCAACCTCAGCTAGCTTGAATCTTCGGAGGCAAACAGAGCGCAACCTGCTTTGGAAGAATCTGTTACTTTTAAGGCTTTATGCTGGGGGTTGGCTTCTATGGCTGTCTTCAACCACTACTCCACCCCCACTCGGGCTACAGAAATCTCCAACTCCTCTGTTCCCCAGTTCCACTCCCACCTCCAGACCTGGGGTTGCCAAACAACGGAAATTCTAGGAAGACCTAGGTGCACTTTTTAAAGCCTCGGCTTACGGAGCGTTTGCGGGCCGGCCAGGGCGCTAGTCTTTTCAGAAACAAGGTTTGAATAAGGAGATGTCAGCCTGGGCTCGTTGCCCTCTGCCCACCGCGGTTCCTTTCCCGGGATTCGAGAGAAGCGTGTGTGTGTGTGTGTGTGTGTGTGTAGCGTGTGTTAGGAGTAAGATAGATCCGCGGGTGTGCTTACTGTCTGCCCCCGAGAGAAGCGTGTGTGTGTGTGTGTGTGTGTGTGTAGCGTGTGTTAGGAGTAAGATAGATCCGCGGGTGTGCTTACTGTCTGCCCCCAGGAGAAGTTTGCTCACAAGGAACACCAGCGACCTTCCTCACCCCCACCCCACCAATTCTACACTCTCCTCCTTCTTCCAAGTCGCTGATGGAGAAGCACTTGGTCACCTTGAAACGCCAGCTCGCGGAATTCTAGTTTTGTTTTGCAATCTATCAGGGACCTTCGGAAGCCTCATAACTGAGATGTATGTGCTCGCCGGGGTAATTAAATGATGTTATTGTGTTAACTTTGCATGCATTTCAGCGGCCCACGCCACCCGTGGGCCGCCGACCGGCCGCAGCTCACTGGCGGTGAGGGCGCTACGGTAGCTCTGGCCGCAAAGATTATGCACGCCTCTGCCTCGGGAATTTACCGTGTATTAGAATACATTAGCGAGCGCCTGCATTTTAAAAGGCTAAAACTACTGGCTCCCAGCTAGGGACTCTCGGGAAGTGGCTTGCTAGCGACGAGTGTTTGTCTACACCGGCACACAGCGGAGTCTTTTGCTCCCGGCTTACTCGCCTCCAGGAAAGCTTTGGCGTGAGGCGAAGGCGATTGAAGCAATGCCCCTTCCCCTGGATCGCAGCTGCCCAGGGGGGCACACAGCGCGGCTTCTTTCACCGCATCTCGCTCGCTAACTCGCTCGCACTCCAGCCTCCCTCTCCCCAGCGCCCCCCCTTCCCCTCCCTCCCTCTCCTTGACGTTTGATTCCAGTAGCAAAGGAGGAAAAAAGGCACCGAGCCGTCAGCCAAACGTGAAACGTGCGGCCCCGCCCCCTCCACAGCCATTGGCAGCTGCCCATAGAAGGCCCGCCCCCCGGGGCAGCCGTGGCCTGGGAGTGGCTGCGCAGGGCGCCCGTCGGGCGCGGCCCCGCCCCAGGTCCGGGAGGGTAGGTTGGCTGCCCCGGCGAGCGGCAGAGCCCTTCTGGACAGCTCCCGCTCACCCAAACAGAAGACGTCGGCGCCGGAGCGGGCTTGGACATGGCGAGGCAGCGCGCCGGCCAGAGCAGCGGGGCCAGGTGATCCCTCCCTCCCTCCCCGTCCCCTCCCCTCTCTCACACGCACGCCCCGTCCGCCCCCACCCCGCCCCCACCCCGGGCGAGCCCGCCCGCAGCCCGGGGCGCACACCCGCACGCGCGCTCCCCTCCACGCACTCCCGCACTCCCGCGCCTGCCCCCGCTCCCGCGGCTGAGCCCCGCCACGCGCGCTTGCCCGTCCGCCGGCCGCCCCCGCCGCCCCTGCCGCCCCCGGGCCCCGATGGACTGAATGAAGGCTGCCTACACCGCCTATCGATGCCTCACCAAAGACCTAGAAGGCTGCGCCATGAACCCGGAGCTGACAATGGAAAGTCTGGGCACTTTGCACGGGCCGGCCGGCGGCGGCAGTGGCGGGGGCGGCGGCGGGGGCGGCGGGGGCGGCGGCGGGGGCCCGGGCCATGAGCAGGAGCTGCTGGCCAGCCCCAGCCCCCACCACGCGGGCCGCGGCGCCGCTGGCTCGCTGCGGGGCCCTCCGCCGCCGCCAACGGCGCACCAGGAGCTGGGCACGGCGGCAGCGGCGGCGGCGGCGGCGTCGCGCTCGGCCATGGTCACCAGCATGGCCTCGATCCTGGACGGCGGCGACTACCGGCCCGAGCTCTCCATCCCGCTGCACCACGCCATGAGCATGTCCTGCGACTCGTCCCCGCCTGGCATGGGCATGAGCAACACCTACACCACGCTGACGCCGCTCCAGCCGCTGCCACCTATCTCCACCGTGTCTGACAAGTTCCACCACCCGCACCCGCACCACCACCCGCACCACCACCACCATCACCACCACCAGCGCCTGTCCGGCAACGTCAGCGGCAGCTTCACCCTCATGCGCGACGAGCGCGGGCTGCCGGCCATGAACAACCTCTACAGCCCCTACAAGGAGATGCCCGGCATGAGCCAGAGCCTGTCCCCGCTGGCCGCGACGCCGCTGGGCAACGGGTTAGGCGGCCTCCACAACGCGCAGCAGAGTCTACCCAACTACGGTCCGCCGGGCCACGACAAAATGCTCAGTCCCAACTTCGACGCGCACCACACTGCCATGCTGACCCGCGGTGAGCAACACCTGTCCCGCGGCCTGGGCACCCCGCCTGCGGCCATGATGTCGCACCTCAACGGCCTACACCACCCGGGCCACACTCAGTCCCACGGGCCGGTGCTGGCGCCCAGTCGCGAGCGGCCACCCTCGTCTTCATCGGGCTCGCAGGTGGCTACGTCGGGCCAGCTGGAGGAGATCAACACCAAAGAGGTGGCCCAGCGCATCACCGCGGAGCTGAAGCGCTACAGCATCCCGCAGGCGATCTTCGCGCAGAGGGTGCTGTGCCGGTCTCAGGGGACTCTCTCCGACCTGCTCCGGAATCCAAAACCGTGGAGTAAACTCAAATCTGGCAGGGAGACCTTCCGCAGGATGTGGAAGTGGCTGCAGGAGCCCGAGTTCCAGCGCATGTCCGCCTTACGCCTGGCAGGTAACGCCGGGGCTAGCCAGGGGCCAGGCTGCGGGGGAGAGGGCTTCCGGTGCTTGTGGCCCAGGGCTGCAATCACTTCTCATGATTCTTTCCTTCTCTTTCTCACACACTTCCTCTTTCTTCTCCTTTTAATTTCTTCTTCCATTTCCTCTTTCTCTTCTGCTCTTCCCCTACTTTCCCTTCTCCTTTTTTTTTTCTTCCTTATTCTCTTCTTGTCCCTAAACTTTCATTGACCAATACCCACCCCCCCATTTCATTCGCCCTCCTCTCAATGTGCCAACCTTTGCTGTCTTTCCCATCTTCCCAGGTACGGAGAGGCGGGATGGGGGTGTGCGGTTTCCTCTAGGAGCCCTGTCTTTCCAAGACTCACGGAAACCGGGACCTGCCCTTATTCAAAACCCTGTGCTCTTCAAGTCTTTTTTAGGCAACACATTTCGATTTTCCGGCTGCCTACTCTCCCTGTGCAGAGGCAGTTGAGAGGCTTTGCTTTGCAGAGGGAAAAGAGCACTCTACTCTCCTACCCACCATATAGACAAACTTATTTGGTCATTGGCCGAAGGCACAGCCTTGCCCGCGCGGGAAACCGGTGGCCGGGATACAACAGCGCTCCCGGAGCCCGACTCTGGTCTTGGCGTTGGCGTAGGGACTTTCTGACATGGCTTGACGGGCTCGGGCCCGCTCCAGTGTCGCTACCTACGGCGAGGGGCGGGGTGTAAGGTTGAGACGGTCCTATTCACCGCTTTGGGTGGACAGGGGAGAAAAGACTGAGGTGGAAAGCGCTTTGCCTTGCTCACGCGCCGCCCTTGCCCCGCAGCGTTTGCGGGGATTTGGCAGAATTTGCCGGGGCTCCGGGAGATCCTGGGCACTTGAGGAAAGAGGTACTGAGAAATTAAAAATTCAGATTAGTTAATGCATCCTGGGCGCGGGCTGCAGGATCCACCTTTGCATTAAGCGGGCGCTGATTGTGCGCAAACGGCGGCCAAGGGGAGGGCTGGCTGCCCGCGGGAGGGGACCGGTAGAGGCGCGGGTTACATTGTTCTGGAGCCCGCTCGGCTCTTTGTGCCTCCTCTAGCGGCGGAGCCGCGAGGTACAGCCCTCTATTGTTCTAGGAGCTCAGAAACCTCCTATGTGGGCGGCGAGTGAGAGAGCTAGAGGGAAAGATGCAGTAGGTACTGCGACTGGCATGCAGTTGCGCGCTTTTGTGCGCACGGACCCCGCGCGGTGTGCGTGGTGACTGCGCTGCCCCTAGAAGCCAGCTACAGACCCAGAGGAGAAAAATGTCCAGGCCCCCCACTGGGAAGGACACACTATACCCTACCACATGCCGGGGTGAGCGGCTTCTCGTGGACCGGGTGGAGGGGGGTATCTTTCAGGATTGGCGGGCGATCTAGGGGAACCATTCGTGGTGGTGATTGTTTGCATAGCGTGGATCTTGTGATGCGCGTGGTTCCGAGCTGGCTACGCACAGCTCGCTTCCGGAGCTGCGAGCTCAGGTTTCCACCCCTGATACCCCGGGCTTTCCTCGCACTGCTGAGCCTGGCTTGTGGGGTGCACTCGACTGACGTCCGACAGGACTGGGGAATGTGACTGGCAGCAGGTTCACCCCGGCTTGGGGAGGGGGGCGTTTCCTCTCTGACAGCATTTTCCTTTGCCGGCTGCTGGTGGATTCTCAGTCCGTAATCACCCCTCAGTGTTAATCTAAGAAGGTAAATAAAACCAGCTTTTCCTGAAAAGAACCTCCCCCAAATCAGTAGACTCCAGATACTTTGAGTGCATTTAGAAATCTATGTAATCGTTCTTCTTTAGTTTATTCTTCATCCTCTCCTACAGTTTTCTCTGATTTGCTGTTGGTTCGGGGCAAGAGAAAGCGAGTAGAGAGTAATAATAATAACAGTGAGAAATAAACTGGAGGCTTACTGTTAGTTCTTAACATTGTAGTAACCCTTTGTCACAGATCCTCCCCAAATGCCCTAGGCCCTCTCCGCTGGGTTTTAGCACCCGCCAGCCTCTTGGGCACCGGGAACCAGAAGGAACTTGGCAGCTGGTCTTGGGGGTACAGTTAAAGGCAGGATGACAGCTATTCTACTCTTGCTCATCTCAGAGCGCTGCCGCCCCCTCATGCCGGTCGCGCAAAGAACACAGCTTTTTTAAAACACTGCCTTATGCCCATATACATCTGAAAGTGATGTGCAAAGTAATGCTTCGCCTATTAGCGAGTTTCAGCTTTTACAATGACGCCAAGCATTGCTGAGATGAGAACATGCGGCATCCCCGGGGGTCTTCAGCCCCACCCACGCCCAGAGTGCAAGTCCCCAGGGGCAGATCCGGGAGAGCACTGCCCACGCCGCTAGATTTTCTGCAGAGGAGAGCTGAGGCCGCCTTCGTGGGAGACACAATGCCTCCTCCAGAGAGTAGGAAAGGCCTGCTGAGGAACCCCGCTTTGCTCGAGCATTCAAATGTGTGTCTGTTTTATTACCTTGGGTTGAAAAGGGACAAGAGCTTTAGCCTTTTTATCTGGCCATTTTATCAGCAACTACAAGTGTGTTGAGTGGTTATTATTACATAGGAGGCTTTTCAGTTTGAGGTCAGTAGATCAGTCTCTTCAGACACTGACGCAGAAGCTGAGACTGGTAAGTAGGTATTATGTGCTCGGAGCGCTAGGGGACAGGAGCAAATGGAGAAGAAAAGCGGAGGCTTTCTCCGCCCGGAGTATCGATCGGAATCCCCTGCCGGGACGCCTGGGGGGGGCCCTCACCGTAGGCCCCCGGAGGTTTAACAAGCCCAGCAGCTCCGCAGGCGGCTCTGCTGGACTCCCAGATTTGTGCCGTTCCAACCCCCCCACCCCCCACCACCTCTCTCTCTTTCTCTCTCTCTTCCTCTCTCTTCCTCCCTCTCTCCTTCATAGATTATAGGTTCTCTTTCTCTTTCATTTTGGCCCCGCCCCCGGTCATGCCAAAGAGCCAAGCAGGCTGGGGTTTAGGGGGTTGAGAATGAAGAGGTCTGATTTGGCCAGCGCCGGCAAAGCTCACCCTTAGGCGAGGTACTGCCCGTCGCAACAGAGGCGGGTCCTTCCTTCCCAACCTGCCGGTGTAGTCACAGCCAAGGGTGACACTTGAAAGGGAAAGGGAGAAAACTTCGGAGAAACTCAGATTGCCCCAACGTTAGATTTCAGACGAATTGACTCCAAATGCACGGATTCATTCGGAAAGGGCGGCTAGGCGGCAAGTGGTTGCTACCCTGCCCGGTCGGACCTCCGCAGATGTTCCCCAAGACCAGCCCTCGCAGGGCGGTTTTTATCAACCTGACAAGAGGCGACCAGGACAAATTCCCGCAGGTTCGAGCGCACACTCTCCGGCGTTGGGCCCCAGAGACCCCTAAACCAAGCACAAACACAAGCAAGAAGGGAATGAGAGAACCCAGGCTAGAACTTGAACAGGGGTCCCACAGAGGAAAAACGAGGCCTCCGTGGCAGGCGTGGTTTCTTCCAATGCCCAAAAATCGAATGGAGCGCCCAGCTGGATTCCCTGCGGAGGTTTCCGCCTCTAGTGAGCCGGGATCCCCCAGCGGCCTGCCCCCCACACACCCCCCAATAGAGGTCCGTACTCCGACACTCGGCCCACTCCTGGCAGCAAGCCTCTAGCGGCTAGTCTGAAGCCAGTTCTGTTCAGGCGGCTGAGGGCCCTTAGCCAACCCACCATGATGTCGCCTGGGCCACCTGAAGCCCGCAGTGGGGGGACACAGCCCTGGCAGTGTGCAGCGGCTCTTGCTAGGGGCACCACGTGCGTACTTGTCTCCCGCTGCGCCGGGGACGTTCCTGGATGACACAGACCGAAGAAAGCGGAACCCCTTTGCACAGTCTCTCGCCACCTCCCAACCTCCCACCTCCTCTCTAGCTGCTCGGTCTCCGGGTTCAGCCCACGTCTCCTGGCGGTTTAGTTAGAGATCCGAGCTGGAGAGGCTGAACACCACCCGCGCCAGTACAGAACAGACGATATGTTCGCTTGCTGGCTGCCTGGATGAATAATTGAAAAGTTCGCCTCAGTCTCTGCTTCATCAAGTCCCGGGTGCCGGGAGAACACCTTCCCAACACGCAGCAGGCTGGGTGGGAGCGGCAGAGGAGGCGGGACCGGAGGGAGGAGAGTGAACCTGAGCAGGAGTTGCAGCCCAGGCAGCCAGGCGCCCTCGTCGCGAGAGGCTGGGCATTTATTTTTATTCCAGGCTTTCCACTGTGTGGTTATGTCACTTTCTCAAACAAATGTGTATATGGAGGGAGATCGATGCTGATAATGTTTAGAAGATTAAAAGAGCATTAATGCTGGCAACAATAACGTAAACGTGTGGACCCAGATTTCATTGATCTGGAACTTGATCCGGCGGGCTTCCAGTAAGCCCAACGGCACGCTCTTCCCAGAAGAGCGCTCGCCAGCGACCCGGCCCCGCGAGCTTTCCAGCCGTGCTGCTTTGCCAGCTCCTAGCACGTTCTCGCGTCTGACCGCAGCTCCTCCCCTGCGTGCCCCCAGCCACTTCCCTGAGGTTTTCTCCTCTCGCGGGGCTCCCCGCCCTCTCCTCCTATTCCTGCAGGCACACACCGCTACTTGCACTTTCTGTGGTCCCTCTGGGTGGCTAGGTCCGCTTAGCCAATTCGCAGACCGGTGCCTAGCTCTCCAGTGCTTGGCTATTGCCATTGAACCCTCGTGACTAAGCCCAAGTTTGAAAATGACGTGGCTAAAGCTGCCTGCTAACGGCGGAGCTTAATTAGCTGCAGATCCCCTCCCATCCTCATCGGTTCTCGTACTAAAAAGTCTCATGCGCAGACTTTTTACGCAGATGAATTTGTTGGACAGTTAAACGTGGTCCTAGCAACAAAATCCTGAGCTTCATCCCTCCGAATAGCAGGCTCTGCACTGGGCTAGTGGAGTCTACCAGGGAGAAGAATCTTGTGTCCTACCTTGGCTGGGACAGGAAAAAAGGGAAGCAGAGTGGGGAACTCCTGCTCCACC